TGGCTCCCTGCATGTGACCCTGGGCGGGGCTTTCCGTCTGCCTTCCCCGCGGAGCATGCGCTGGCCTCTCGCTCGATGCTGCTTCTGCCCCATCGGCTGCCTCCTCGCTGCCGTCTGACTCCGTGAGCACAGTGTCTGTCGGGTCAGACGGGCTGAGTCCCCGCCTGCTCCTGTCCTTTCCGCGGTGACTGTGCTGCTGGCCTACGTTCCACGGCGTTGCCAGCGCCTCCTCGTCGGCCTACGTGCCGCCTGCATGCTGGTGCCACGCCCGGTGGAGGAGGGGATTGCTCCACGCGACGCTGTGCGGCTGAGCGTGCTGACTGTCTTGCGAGCATTTTCCTGATGAAAGCGTGTGAGCTTCAAGTCAGACCGTGGCTCTCGTGTTCCCTGGTCCCGGGAACCTGCTCTGAGGCAGACCCCTGCTCGTAGGTCAGCCATCGAGGCCCGAGGAGGGAGCACACGCTATTGGAGCGGATACAAGAACGTGCTCACCTGAGTAACTACACGTGGACGCACACGCAACACCACTTCCGTTTTTCCTTTACAAGTTGCAGTGATGTGTCAGTATAACCAGATGCACAAAAAACGGTCCTGGTTGTTACTACTGTTGCTGTTATTTTTATGTGCGAATCCTCACCTGAGGATGTTTTCCCCTTGGTTTTCAGAGAGAGAGTGGAAGAGAGAGAGAGAGAGGGAGAACATCGATGTCATGTTGGTTGGTTGCCTCCTGCACGCACCTGACCGGGGCCCAGGCTGGGGAGGGGCCTGCAACCGAGGTACATGCCCTTGACCGGAACCGAACCCGGGACCCTTTGGTCCACAGGCCCACGCTCTGTTCACTGAGCCAGCTGCCTAGGGCAAAAAATTGTATTGGTGATCGATTAAGGACGATCACCGAGACGATGTGTGGCACGCAGACGATGCTTCTACGTCAGCAGCCAGCCCGCCTGCGTGTTAAATGCATCTGCTTGTCGAGTAGAATAACAAGCGGGGCTGGGCTAAGGAATTGGACCCCTTTGGGGGCCGGCCAGCCTGCCCGGGGCGTCTCTACTCCGTTTCACACGGACCTGGGCGCATCTGAGCCCCCTCCCCACCTCCCTTTGGGTGAGCTCGCCCCCTCAGACGGGCACGGTCCCTTCAGACACACAGTGGGCCTCGTCGTATCTGAGGACTCGGTCTGCATGGGGAGCCCACGAGCACAGCCCTTCCTGTGGGTGCGGGTGCCCGGCCTGTCCTGCCCCCATGTGCCAGGTCTCAGAGTCCAGTCTGCCCTCCGTGCAAGGTGGCAGCCGGCCCCCGACCGCTGGGTTGCAGGGAGGAGTGGCGCCCGGGAAGGAGCTGCCCGCGGCCCCCGACTACCTGGAGATTGCCATCTACTGCATCGGCGTGTTCCTCATCGCCTGCATGGTGGTGACGGTCGTCGTGTGCCGCATGAAGGCCTCGGCCAAGAAGCCCGACTTCAGCAGCCCGCCCGCCGTGCACAAGCTCTCCAAGCGCATCCCCCTGCGCAGACAGGTAACAGAAAGTAGATGGAGAGTTTGCAGCACCTACTGCGCCGCCCAGCCCGCTCCTCGGCCTCCCTTCCCCTCGGCTGACGCCCCAGCTCCTGGGAGCTCCCAGGGGCTCCCTGTG